TGTTTTCAGTATATTGTGTTTTTCTTTACATAACTCGACATTCAAAGGATAATTGTATTCACAATGGATAAATATAGCTCATGTCCATCTGTATTCTTTACAAGTTCGGGAGACAACTATAAGCGAGTATTCCAGATCAAAAGTGACTACACAGGCTGTAGTAATGAGACTGGCTGGTTCATGATGAAGGATTATGGTGCCACGGACGGGTGTGTTGAGTGGGACACTACTTCTACTACGATGCCGTATATGTACTACTCCACAACTGGACTGCGGACTCAGTGGTCCTCAGGTTTGTATCATTCTACAGCATTTGTATGTTGTATTGTTTGTAAATATAGTATCTGTTATTAGAAAACACAATAGAATCAGCTCTTTTTATGTTTGATTTTCGAATGAATAACAATAACTTGTTATTTTGAGATCCATGTTAGGTAACTAGGGAAGTAATGTGGCTTATCACTTGAGATCCATGTTAGGTAACTAGAGAAGTAATGTGGCTTATCACTTGAGATCCATGTTAGGTAACTAGAGAAGTAATGTGGCTTATCACTTGAGATCCATGTTAGGTAACTAGGGAAGTAATGTGGCTTGAGTGATATGACCAATCATCATATTAAAGATGATCATTATATCATTCTTGATTAAGATTTTCAACATTGTTCTAGAACAATTGACAGATCATAAAGTTTTAAGGTCATATGACCTATATGGTGTTTCTTCCATCGTGCTGCACCATGCAGGGATAAAGGACTACCAAGTTTGGTCAAATGAATGACCCTGATGTAATCAGTTCAAAGGGGTCTTATGTGTTGAAAAGTTGAAAAAGCTTCTCTTAATAACCAAAAGGCCCAGAAATGTTGGGCCTGTAGCAGGCTTAGCTGAAGGACTACCAATTTGTTTATCTGAATGACCTTGAGCCATTTTCAAGGTCATAGGGGTCCAATAGGTTGCAATACCTTCTTCTCAATTAACAAAATTCACTTTATGAACCTACAAAGACTTATTTGTAAGCTGTATGTAGAATAGGTGAGTGATTCAGGCCCAATGGACCTCTATCACAGGTCTTTAAGGTCAGATGACCGTTCACGTCCATGGGCCTCTTGTTAATTGCTTCATGTTTTGACTCAAAACATTGCATATAGAACATTAAAACATACCTAGCTCCAGTACAGATATTATGTTAGGCTTCAAAATGTCCTCAATTTATTTGGTGAAAATTTTATACTTTTGTTAACTTGCAGCTGAGAAAGAGTTAGCAGACAGCTTTGCGATTTTCTTAATGGGTAAGTTGTTTGTTAAAACGGATGAACTGGAGTTTAAAGATATAATACGCAGTTCGTTATCAGATTCTCTATCATTCAGATTAATGTTATAATGGTATTTTAGATTGTTTCTCATGGTAATGAAATAAAATTTGATCTATTTACTTATTTGTTATAATTTTGTTTTAAATGTCGTTTGTCAGATTGGCACATGGTATTCAAAGCAGTGGCAGAAGTACAGACAGATGGCAGTTTGGAGACATTATGGACGGGGTCTACTTCAGTCAATGATGGCGTTGAGTCTGCCATCTCAGTGACCAATTCTCCAGCTAGTAACTATAAATCTAGTGTAGTGGAGGCCTGGTCGGAAGATTTCACGTTCATTGATATGGTATGTCGAGTTCTATCTTAGTGACAATAAACAATGCACTTAATGAACTCTGGGGGAGGCACAATGTCCCACAACTAACGATATCCGTTAAATCCTTCCGGGGACTGCCGTTAGTATACCTCACTAAAAAAGGGTAGAATGTAGGTCGAGAGTGAAGACAACATGAACAGCTCCTTCCCAATTCACGATTTATTTCGGATCCGAAATTTGTCAACAACTTGATGTACAAATAAATCGTGAATTGGGAAGGAGCTGTTGGTGTTGTCTTCACTCTCGGCCTACAATATAATATATGGTGATCTATTGATTGTGATTTATTCCTTCCAAGGATCAATGATATACTTCTGTCATCTTATTGTCTGTAGTTATGTTCACTATATATGATTGTATAACTTGTAAGATTGAACAAAAGACACACAAGTGATTGTCTCTTTTCAACACAAATTTAGACTCCTATTAGTGGAGCCAAATGACACATTAAATTGCATCATCAGTGATTACACTATACAATCTATTTTCATGAGTCCTTTTCAAATTTAGTGCTAAAAACAACGGGTACTACAATGCAAAATTAAGGTATTTCTAAAGATTCTAGTTTCATCAATTGAAATTCTATCAATACAGAAACATGGACTCCAATGTAGAACTGCATCATACAACTGTCTTGTCCTCGGACTTGTCAGTGATGATCAGGGCCTGAATCATGAGAACCTAAACCTGAGGCAGTCAAAGAGAAAATAAATAATGATAAATGTTATAAAGGAGATGAGAATAAGTTTCTTAATTTCCAATATTAAATGGTTTCAAAAGGATCTCAAGCACTGGTGTATTTTCTGAACTGTGGCACTCTTTTAATGAACCAAAACAAGGCATGCAGGTTACAGCAAACATTCAAGACTCCAGTCTGAAGTTGATTCTCATAAACATGTGTTAACATACATGGTTCACTTAACTGGTTATTCTTTGTGTGTGCTTTCTTTATCCTTAAAGGTAAAATATGCCTATTTCACTGGTGGCATTGAGAATGCCTGGATAGTTTTTGACGGGATCAGTACAACAAAGACTTCATGGCTTGCGGACAGTAAAATTCTGTACTCCAGCTACAGTGATATACAGACGGGTGGCAAAACAACAGTTAGTGTAACAGGGTAAGCTAATAACAAAAATGGCATTAATTATTCATTCGTCATGAATGTCTGACATTTGTACATGACATGGACATTCAAATCATGAGCAACACACACACATCAGGTTTGAAGTTAAACCAAAGTTGATTACTTACACATATATATTACTGTGTAAGAATACTTAACTGGCTTCATCTTAACTGGGGCTGTGGTGGCCAAGTGGCCTTTGAGTGTGTTTACCACTAATCTTCCACCTCAAGGTCGCAGGATTGTGGCCTTTGAGTGTGTTTACCACTAGTCCTCCACCTCTAGGTCGCAGGATTGTTGCCTGTTTGGGGCAGTCGCCAGGTACTGACCACAGGTCAGTCGTTTTTCTCCGGGAACTCCATTTTTCCACCAATCAGAACTGATACAGCCTTAAATGACTGTGGCTGTTAACAGGGTGTAGAGCACCATAACCAAATCTAAATTATATTAACAGTTAATTATTTTGTCATTGTTACATTCAACGATAGAAAATGAGTTTAAGTTAAGGTACACAACCAGAAGTGATTTGCTGAAAATGATAGTCTAAACCAGCTTCAAGTGTAGATATAGATCTGGGATATGGTGACATTCAATCACATCTCAGTTTAATCATTAGGGAATCAATAACCTATTACATCTATAGAATTGATGAAATGAAAGTATCCAACCACAAGTGAAGATTTTGTAGGTATGGTATTTGGTGGCACTCGATCACAGCCACGGTTATTTCTCAAGTAATCAATATCCTATTATATCTATAAAACTGATTTTGTGTATTTTGTAACCCTAGCTCTTGTTCAGGAGTTTAATCACATTCAAAATCCAGTACATAGTACAAAGAGTGGAATTCAATAGTTTCTTGTGAATTACTTATCATACATTGTTATCAAGCTATTACAAAATACCACATGCTTTATATTATATATAGACGATCAGCTTCTGTATAAAGGAAGTTATAACACAGCGTGACATTATATTGAAACATTAAGATAGTGCAGTGGATATTTTTTGTTACAGAGATGGAATTAGATCATTTGCAGTGATCTATTCCTACCCAAGCTGTTCCGCACTAACTGGATGGATGATGACGTCTGATTATGGCAGCAGTACCACCTGTTCTTTTGACAATGCTGGAACTAAACCTTACTTCATATACAGTAACACTGACGCCTATGGTTTACCAGAGTCAGGTAAATATTGTATATGGTTGATGTGTATGGTTTACCACAGTCAGGTAAATATTGTATATGGTTGATGTGTATGGTTTACCACAATCAGTTAAATATTGTATATGGTTGATGTGGTTTACCACAGTCAGGTAAATATTGTATATGGTTGATGTGTATGGTTTACCACAGTCAGGTAAATATTGTATATGGTTGATTTGGTTTACCACAGTCAGGTAAATATTGTATATGGTTGATGTGTATGGTTTACCACAATCAGTTAAATATTGTATATGGTAGATGTGGTTTACCACAGTCAGGTAAATATTGTATATGGTTGATGTTTATGGTTTACCACAATCAGTTAAATATTGTATATGGTTGATGTGGTTTACCACAGTCAGGTAAATATTGTATATGGTTGATGTTTATGGTTTACCACAGTCAGGTAAATATTGTATATGGTTGATGTGGTTTACCACAGTCAGGTAAATATTGTATATGGTTGATGTGTATGGTTTACCACAGTCAGGTAAATATTGTATATGGTTGATGTGGTTTACCACAGTCAGGTAAATATTGTATATGGTTGATGTGTATGGTTTACCACAGGTTGGTAAATGTAATGCATGCATGATTGTGATTGGTTTATAATATTGGGCTTTACCTGTATGTATCAAAATTGCAAAAAGATTGCCAAAACTTATCAATCAAAGTTTCATAAGTCGAAATGCTGACCTTGTTTTTAAAGATTAATGCACTAGTGCCTGAAATATTGCCGTTAGATAAAGGTAAAATTTACCATGATTATAAAACATGTTTAAAAGTAACTTTTAAACTTGTTTGAAGATCACTCTAGATATTTCATTTTTGTTGTAATTACAAATGATAACATAATGTGTGTTACGCTAACATAGCATTATCTTGCTTAAGATTAGTTACCAGATACAAATAATATCATTTTTTTACCTGTTCTACTCTAGCTTCTAGCTGGGACAGTACAAATTTTCCAAAAGCTGATGTCATGGGGATTTTCATAAATGGTAAGTGGTGAAGAGGATTGACATCAAGTATAACCTACACTAATCTACTTATGCTATCTGTACATTACTAGGCTAACCTTACTAGATTCCAAATCCTTTAATATTGCTGCAATCGAACAGGCCTTAAAAAATCTTCAGTGGAAGTCCAATAAAAATTCCACCATAATTGGATCTAAATGTAATACAATACATAATGCTGGAACTTCTATATAAAGACGACCTGTCTATGTACTGTAAATTCATTTGATTTCCTGACTACTGTCACAAACTCATCTCTTCAGATATATTCACGTATACATAGTTTCACGTACACTGGTCTGGAAATGACTCCGAATTCACAAATCATGAGTTATTAGAGACAAGGACTTTTGAAGACTACAATATTGGTAACAGTTTCATATTGAGCACAATTTTGTTTATCAGGGTTGTGTAACATATGAAAAGACATATGGATCAGTCACATGATATATGCTGTATCCTTACTGAATGCAGGATAGTACATAGACAAAGGAACATTAACTGTCAATGTGTGTTTGGAAAGTTGTCATCATCGTAAGATTTCAGCTCTTTAGGCAAGGCATGTTTGTGCAGTCTTCAACATGTCTCTTCGTAATTCATTATTATACAAGTTAAACAGTGGTTGTCCTAGTGGTAACATCGTTGTTGATTTTCCTAAAGTTTATTTTGTACTTCAATAACATAGATATTTTGTTATTGTAAATATTTCAGCACCTTTTCAACATAAAAATTGCATGGGGGATTTACAATTATGTCTAATATGGCGCACATGCTCGCTCTCCAACCTCTAACCTGTAGCTTTATTTCTGATTGAGAAGGGATGTTGTTTAAAAGCACACAGATGTCAGAATTTTAAAGTAACACATGTATATATAGTTATCTAGCAGATTGTCTGTGTATATGTAAATTCAATGGAAATGTCTATGAATGCAGATTTTGATAACAATGGAATAACGAGGATGTCATTTAGAGCTGTTATTTTCAAAAAAATAATCATGAGGGATTTAAATTTGCATTTCAACATGAAATTGAAGTGATTTACAGCAGATCAATCTCTAGGCTCCTTGAACGGCCATTATAGTCCGATCTCACTGTAATTTCATTCCATGACAAATGAAGTGTATTAACTGTAGTAAAGACAACACTGTCATTATACCTTCAAAGGATGGTTCCCAGTGATGAAAGTGAGCAAGACATATGGACCATCCCCTGCTTCTGGTATTTATGATCTATGGAATAACGCGTACACCGTTAACGAGTACAACGACAGCATCAACGCCTTTTCCTTCGCTGACAACACAATACCCTACAAGTCTAGTGTTGTGGATGCCTGGACTAGTTACTACATTAAAGCTGTAAGTAATGATATCTATATCTTCAATATTTGTCAGTAGATAACTGGTGAATACTTAGTCTTCATAAACATAATGTGTTGTCTTAAGTTCATATTAGAGAAGAAAGCTTGTCATACTTTTGTTAACATTTGTTTATTATTGATTTCCTTCTTTGTCAAGCTAAAACCAGGTTAAGACAATGTTTGGAACTTACAGATATAGTAATACAAAAAAATGAATTAAACTGTATCAACTTGTCCATTAGTGATGCTAAGGGCCTAAACTGTTGAAACCATCAAACAAGTTTCAAAAACAAGATCAGGTAAACTGATCCCAAACTTAATGCATCTAAATGGCTCAATTTTCCACACAAAAAGATGTTGTCTTTCTGTTAATAAAATTTTCTATTTAGTCTATGGTTTTGTTTAGGTTCGGTTGTCATTCATTGTGTCCGGGACTGAGCGAGCGTATGTTGTGTTTGATGCTCATGGTACCACAAAGTGGTCCTGGTTCTCCTGTGACAGAATCCTTTACTCATCATGGACAGATCTAAACAATGACGCATATCAGGAATACTGTAGCATTCAGGGGTAGGTTTACAACACACCATATACAGGTATGATTTGCTCTATTTTAACCTAAAAGTCTTAGGTAAGCCCAGTTTGAAATCTTTTTATGAGGTAGGCATTTGTTGTCTTACGACTTAATCTGCTGCACATCGATGCTGTTTGGACAAAGATAAATGTGGAGCTATTTTGATGTGTTTCCTGGGATACACATAAGGGTTGATGTATTCTCAGAGTTCACAGTCAGGCAAGCAAATAATAAATTGACAAAATCTTTCAACAGTATGCTTATGTCCTACAAAAATGGCCTTACATATCCTACTGTTGGTTAAACCTGTAATTCTGTAACATTTCACATGCTATTTTTGGAAACCTTGATTTCATGCTGTAAAGTTTAAAAGAGAATTCTATAAATTATCAGTCACTTGTTCCTGTTCTACAACACTGTAATATGGTGTTAAGTAATTTTAATGTTATTTTATACAGCTGAAAAAGTATCAAAGCAATTTGGAAAATAATATTTTTTGGGGGGGTTTTGCAGTAACGCAGCTAACCAACAATACTTTCTAATGGAGTCAAGTTACGGCACAAGTTGTGCCACCAATAGTGGCTGGTTTAGCGTTGTTGAGCGTACTTCTGGTGGATGTAGCTGGGAACAGATGGACTCTAACTATCCCCATGTTGTATACAGCGATACAACAACAGCAGAACTCAACACTGGTAAAGATTCTGATAAATTACGTATTTATACCAAATTGATGAATAATTTCTGTAAATCAGGGTTTACTGGTGAAATATAATCAAGGTCGCAGTTCATTGATAAATATTCTCAGGAGTATACTAACATGTGAAATACAAAAAATAAAATTTGATTTTAAGCAACGATACCAGAATGTGTAGTTTAAGTCAACAACATCCTCGATACTCCAGGAAGTCACTTTCACTCTGTACACCCCTGGGACATGTCACGGCCAAATTGAAGGTCCCTTGTGCTACATCTTATGAATGAGATAACAGGTTTGATCCTTTAATGTACATCAAACAAATCTCTAGGTCACAAAACAGTATGTTGTACTGACTCTGAAGCTGTGATTTGTCAGTTTTTTAACCTGAAATCCATTTTTGACCAATCAGATTACTTTGCTCATGCGTTCAATTTTGCCATGAACTGTTCTAGAAGTGCAGAGAGTGAAAGTAAGCGTAACCTCTGGAGTTTTGAGGTTGACCAATGAAAGTACCTGAAATTTCTTTCACCATTCATTAATGAATTATTCCTTCAGAACATCTTTCCTGTATAAATTCACATTTGTTTGCTACTATTAGCTATATACAGTGATATCAATCTCCTCTACAGGCATGGCTGTGGCTGACACGTTTACAGTATCAGTATGTAAGTAGAGTGTCTCTTTAGATATACTGTTAACCTACCTGTTTTTGTGTGAAATACTACCTCACAAATTTTGAGATTGCATTAGAACTACAAAATTAATTGCAGTAAATTAAAAAAATATAAAATGCCCACTAATTTTCATATAATTCTTTTTTTATAACACATGATTGTTTATTTATATGCAAGTTTTGGGAATATATTGCTAATTTTGATATCAAGGGCGATTTTTTCCTTGAATGTTCAATTCTGAGAATTCTGTGTTCGGTAACTCTCAGGTAAAGGTTAATATAAGTGTGTTTCTTGAAGATGGTTCAGAATTTGTGAACTTAAATTGCCAGGAACTGGTTATATTGCTGAAATTGGAAATTTATGATTTTATCTGTAGCAATGGACGATATTTGTGACATAGTTGTATGTGAGAATGGTGCTACTTGCTTAGACTGGGGTGGACGTTACAGTTGTGTATGTGAAGGCCTTCATTATGGACATTTATGTCAAAACAGTAAGTGCATCAAGTTAGACTGATATGTAAAGTTTATCCAAAATCCTGCAAATTTAAAAGATAAATTTTAATTCAAAAATGAAAAAAAAAATTAAAATGAACAAAAAGCAAAGTTTTAATTCATTATTAAGTCTAAATTCAGCCCTTTTTTTTTTTTTTTTTTAAATTGACTGATTCATATTTCAAATATTCATTAAATAACATCAGAATGATACATAATTTGTCTGACTTTAGAAATGACTTTCATTTAGTTTTCGTATATTATTAAAGTTGTTTTGTTCCAAAAATAAATTCATTGTCAGAAGTATTTCACTATTTCTCCGTCAACAACTGTTGACATTTTCTGATAGTAAACTCTGATTGTTTCAGTCGATGGTAATTATACAGCATGGACAGCTTGGACAGACTGTAGTACATCATGCTATGCGACCGGAACACAGTCTCGGAATCGCACGTGCACTAACCCCACACCTCTGGGTATTGGACAGGATTGCACTCGTTATGGTGTGGATTACCAGGTCCAGTTCTGCATACCAACTCATTTAGATATTTGTGATGGTAAGATACTGAAAAATCAAGCAGGTTTTATTTCTTTGTTTCTCACATTAAGATAAAGAAACAATGTTTAGGTTTTATATGATTTCTAAGTTTACGTTTAAGGTCATATATATAACAGTATTGAAATTGCCTTGTTAGGTATGTGCAGTATTAATCCACACAATTATTTCCCCATCCTCAATACTCCAGAGGTTATATTCACTGTCTCTCTCTACACCTGGAAAATGTCATGGCAAAATTGAAGGCACTAGCAAAATAATCTGATTGGTTCCAGGAGAAATAAAGCTGACCAATCACAGACTGATATGCTCCATTGAAGATTACAAAGGCGTGACACCTAACTTCAAAGCCATAAAAATATACATTTATGCGTCCTTGAGATTTGCTTGATCAAACTAGTCCTCTCATCTTATCCACATGGTGTAGTGTATTGAGCTTTCATGACATGTTCCAAGGATGCACAGAGCAACTGTGATTGTAACCCCTGGAGTATCAAGGATGTTATTTCCCCCATCAAACAAGAATTTGGTTTGTTTTTACTATTAGAATACAATACTGGAGACATTTCTGAGAATGGCAATTATACAATGGTTTGTCCCAGCGGTTTCTACATACATGTTTACGATGCTTTCTACGGCAATGGGACAACCTGTTCGGATTCAACTGCACTTTCTGATGTACGAACTCTGTGTCATGGACAAACGACTAGCTGTACACTGATATTTAATTACGCTAACTTTGGCGAGGATCCCTGCTCCAGTTATGCCTACCTCACTAACTATGGATCTGCTACTTTTCATTGTGCCAGTAAGTTTAACCATAATAACACCATTCCTTGGAAGATACTTTACATTTCACAAATCAAAATCAATTCTGTATATTAAAAGGAAAACATCAATAAATGCCTTCAATTCAAACTATTTTAGGATAAATTGTCAAAAATTATCTTTTGAATTACGTATTTTTTAATTACATTGTTTTATCGAATATTGAAGGTTATATACTGAGGAGATGTATTGACCAAATTTTATTTAGAATTAATACTGAAATTAATCACTGTATCTGTGAGTTCTAATTAAATCTATTCAAGCCTCGCAAAGAAATAATTTTATTTATATTCCCTTTTAGAACAACAACTATTGGATGACTGGAAAGGACGTAAGTATTGTCTGGAATTACTAGGAAATATTTAATTTAGACGGTGTATTTCCATCCGAGTCAACAAGAGTGATTGATAGGAATGTTAGCTGGCTTTATCATTGTAAAGTTTGGATATAATTACATTTTGAGGGGATATGGGTTTATCTGTGAGCCCCTGTTCACTTTCTTTTTATCAATAAATAATTTTTGAAAGTTTTTGTGAGTATGCCCCCGGTTTTCTAATGTTATTACTCAAAGATATATTTGTCTGGTTTCATTCTTTATAAAAGCAAGGAGATTATACAAACCATTTTATAGTGTACAAAAACAGTTGATAAAAACTGATAATGATCTACTGTAATGACAGCGATCCTCTGATACATATGTTTTTTTTCAATTTCAGCCTGGCGACTTGTGTTTAAAGTTCCCCAAAATACTGCCTCTCCTGCAGGCTATTCTGATATAATGAGTTTGTATACTGCAAGTGGATCTTATAACGAAGGAAACACAGCAGCCATGACAGATTTTAGTGCATCAGGAAGTATATACAAATCTGCTCTGTTGGATCAGTGGGGAGACAACATGACCGTGAACGCTGTAGGTTTATCAGGACAAGCATTTCATGTATTGTCAGATACAGTACAAAGTAGACATTTTTTTCTTTAATTTTTTAAATAGTCTGATTTGTTTTTCCTGAAATAATGAAAACAACACAGGATTATCATTGATGTAACAATATAACATTTAATTGTACATTTTATATGTCTGTCAGGTTTTGATGACAACTTACATGTCGGTGAATATCTGGGTCAATATCTAGGTCAGTACCAGTCTAGAACTGATGCTAGCACTGTAATGTTACTTGTGGATTGGATTTCAAACTAAAATTAGGCCACATTTAGGTTAAAAGAAAGAAAAAAACAGAAATAAAAGATGCCAACTGAAATGGGGAGACTTCCATTTAGCTCCCTTTACGTGAAGAAATCATTATATCTATTTGTTGTTACATGCAGGTGAAGTTGTCAGTGTTCGCTAATGGGTCAGAGGTCACCCATGTCATATTTATTTGTTGTTACATACAGGTGAAGTTGTCAGTGTTCGCTAATGGGTCAGAGGTCGCCCATGTCATATTCAATGCATTATCATCAACAAAATTGACATGGTTCAATCAAGCCAACATGATATCATCGAGCTGGCATGATATCGTTGATGGGAACACGACCACAACACTAGAGTATGTATTTTTGCAAGTTATTTTTATTATAAAGTTAAGTTTGAAAGTGTTTATCAAGCTAGATATTCATAAATTTCATAACTCCGTTAATCAACAAGGTTATATCATCATATGTTTGGGTAATATAATAAGTCAAAGTTCATGGTTATAAATATAGAATGGAGATATGAATGGGTTTTCAAATATGGTTTTAAAGGCTATTATTTATGTATACACTCAATTACTATCGCATTCGTGATTAGCAAAATGTCCCTGAAAAAAGTTTGCAGATAATATATAAAAAGCACCTTAATTATAAGATAAAAGGGATTAGCTAAAGATATCTTGTAAAAATATTCTTTTTGATTAAGTTTAAGCCATTGATAACTTGAATCTAATTTCCTAGTACTGGAGGTACAGAGAAGAGGACATTCTTCATCAGTAGTGACTATTCTGGCTGTGCTAATGAAACTGGCTGGATCATGATGAAGGATTACGGAGCCACTACTGGGTGTACAGAGTGGGACGATCCTAGTTTGACTAGGCCATATATCTACTACTCAGGACTTGGCACGAGGGTTCAGTGGTCAACAAGTAGGCAGTTCTATTATACCCTATTATACTGAGTTAACTTACCAACACTTTAGTGTAAATATTAAAGATGAAAATATACAAAGGGTTATGACAATCTACATTAACACAAAGTCATATTAGTATCAATATTAAATATTGGCTGAGAGGTTAGGATATCTAACAGTCTTTATCACTAACCTTCCACCCCTAGGTAGTGGGTGTTAGGCTTACGTGTTGTTAGGTACTAAATACAGGTCAGTGGGCTTTCTCTGGGAACTCTGGCTTTCCTCCACCATCCAAATCTCACACATTCTTAAATAACCCTGGCTGTTAATAGGGCATAAAGCATCAATATACTAAACAATAATATATAGATAAATGTACATTTCGTTATACCTGTTATATTTTAAAAAAATTGTTTTGCAATAATTGTCTCTCCTTTGCAGCGGACAGATTGGAAGCGGATGCATTGGCAATATCTATTATAGGTAAGGAGGACAGCACACAAACAATTTATAGTTATAGAAAGGTTTATTAGTGTCACTGTATACTCTCAAATCTAGAACAAAATGCTTAGTCATCAGCCTAAGTTACACAAAAATCCTTTAACTAAAACCCAAATTGATTGTAATAGAAGGATGTTGATTTACATGTTTAATACATTCAGTGAGAAGTTAATGTTACAATACTTTATACATGTGTAATGCTGTCTTAATCTTTCAGACTGGCACATGGTGTTCAAGGCAGTAGAGAGTGTTACTCCAACTGGCGGTGTCAGTCTGGAATCTCTATGGACCGGAAGTGACACCGAAAATGACTTGATAGCATCTGCCATTTCTGTCACTAACACACCTGCCAATATCTACAAGTCAAGCGTTGTGGAGAACTGGTCTGACGATTTCACATTCATTGATATGGTAAGTGGTAATGAACACAAGGTATTACATATGGTGTGGTTAAATAATGATTTGGCTCTAATGTATCCAAGTGTACATAGCTAACGTTAAAATGTTAAAATGTTAATTTGTATTGAAAGGTGTATTCTTGTTTATTTTTTACATTTTTTTTTTTTTGCGGTGAGGACTATCAAATGAAATCATACAAAATACACAGAAGTGCAGTTTCCATCTTTTGATGTCTTCTTTATCATGCATTGATGATACCGTGGTAGATCGCTTCTGTTCTAACTTACAATTCAATTGTTACTTCACTTTCTCACTACTATTACATAATGATAACCTAAAACTGATCTTACATGTAATGTTGACAGGTGAAATACTCCTACTTCACGGCTGGAATCGAGAAAGCATGGATCGTTTTTGATGGAGTCGGCACAACGAAATCCACATGGTTTGCAGATGATAAAATCCTCTTCTCTAAATACACTGATATAAAGACAGCGGGTAAAACTACAGTCAGCATATCTGGGTAGGTATTTCAAAAGTACCATAGAACAGCTTAAAACTACACCTTGCCTGAGCTCAGAAATTTTCGGTTTTTTCATTTTGATATTTTATTAAGGAATCTCAAGTTGTATAAATGATAAGGATATTCAATGCAAATTTAAAACGATTTGACCATTTATTTATGATCTATTTGAAGACTGCAGCTTTTTCTATTCTGATAAACCTGTGTACAGTAACTTTTTTGTGACATTATAAAACTGACCATGGAACTACATCCAGATTTGAGACAGTTAATTTCTGATATATCTATAAAAAAATAGTAGAAATTTATGAATTTGTGTCCTTTTCTGACAGCATGTATGGAAAGTGTCTTGTTTCATTTTACAACCTTCTTACGAATTAGAAATTTCTGCATTGTCCTGTTTAATTTACCAATGGAAGAATAAAGAACACATAACTTATGATTAAACAAACTTTTATATTCAACCAAGGGACTCAACCAGATCATTTGCTGTCATTTACCAAAGCAGCAGTTGTACATCAACCACAGGATGGATGATGCTTTTTGACTATGGAAGTTCAGGCACCTGTAATTCATTTGAGAGGGAATCTAACGTAGCTACAAAACCCTATTTTCTGTACAGTAATACAGATGTATATGGCTACCCTCAATGGTGTATGTAACATAGTGTTAAGACAAAGAATCAAATAAGCAATTCAGTTTACATTAATTTGGTGTATCCTGTAAACTTGATTATGAATATGAAAATAAAAGGAAATAACAAAAATTGAAAAGTGACTCTGTTCTGACGACTGCATACCTAGCATGTCGAAACATGTCAACTGTTAAACAGTTTGAATACTTCCTACAGATGCTGTCTGGTCCTCTGTATCTGTTGGAAATAATAAAAGTTAACATGGTTGTTATTTGAAAATATTAAAAACTGTAGAGCAAAATTTGAACATAATATAACATTATGCATTGCATATAAATTCATTATATTGCCTGTTTTGAAAAAAAGTGTACATTAATTTAGATAAATCTTTTTTTTTTCCACACATGTTCAGTGATATTTTTTATACTTTTTGCTGCAGCATCGTCATGGGATAGCACAAACTTTCCAAAGGCTGATGTAATGGGTGTCTTCATTAAAGGTCTGTGTCTTTTATCACCACTTTGAAAAAAAAATCTAGAAGTATGATTGGTTAAAAAGCATTGTGTCTAAATCATTATTTGGAATTATCAGGGAATATACAGGCATGTCACATGGTCTTCATGGGGTCGTATTGTGACATTGATGTTCATTGGATGCTTATTTGAATTCCCATTTCTGATTGGTTGAAAAATAAGCAAGTTATCGTTTCAGCTGATTCATATAATTGTATGTTCCAGGTTGGTTCCCCGTACTTAAGGTTGCCAGAGGTATGGACATTACCCCATCCACTGGTATATATGATCTCTGGACTGGTACTTACATCATGAATGAATACAACGATTCTAGTGAAGCATTCTCATTCGCAAGTGACACTATGACTTACAAATCCAGCTTGGTTGATACCTGGACAAACTATTACATCAGAGCGGTAAGTATTTTAGTTTGTGTGAGAAGTTCAATATTCTCATTACTAATTGATTTTTGATTTTTGCTGGTCAATGGAAATGCGGTAAATATGAACATACCATGGTACAATTTTTTTTTTTTTTTTTTTGGAAGGTATTGTTCTCCAAAAACATGATGTGTACTATACACAAGAACAAGGCATGTTCATGAAAGTTCATGCACAGACTAGGGTCAGTATATAGGCCAAATGATTTACCATATCAAAGAGAATTTGTGTGTAAAACCATCAAAGTAGATAAAAAAAACCCCAAAAATTGAAAAATATCTTTCTGTGTTTAATGCATTTTGATTTTCCTCTCAATTACTGAACAATGTGAATTAGTCAAAGCGAGTTTCCAAACACCACAAATATTCAGGTAAAAACCTAGGCACATTTCTATAGTAGAATTGTAGCACTGCACACTATAGTTGCATTACGTTACTTTTGAATAAGCACTAAAAATGATATATCCACTGTACTGATGGCTGATGTCATGACCTTGCTGACCCTGTAAGACCATGGTCAGCATGAATAATGTTAAGAATTTTATAATTCTAAATTAATTTTACAATATATACGAATGAAATCTGAAATGAATCTGAAAAACTGAAATTCATTGAAATGACAACGGCAAGATATAGAATATTTAAACAGACACCCCTGACAAGGGTAATAAGTGGTTTCCGAAGGCCTCTGCTTCATCAGCTACACTGCTATGTGAATCTTGTTGTTTGTGTTGACAGGTGAGGGTGTCCTTCTTTGTGAATGGGTCTGAACAAGCCTATGTTGTCTTTGATGCTCATGGTTCAGATAAAACCAGCTGGTTTTCCTGTGACAGGATCCTATATACATCATGGGCTGATCTGAGTACTTACGGGAGGAAAGATTACTGCAGTATAGCAGGGTACATAGTAGATATACAATTTCCTCTTCTTTTTAGCTCACCATCAAATTACCTATTATCTCTGGTATGTTGTTTGTCCGTTGTAAACATCCCATATTACTGATATTTCTTTTGAAGCACTGGAGGGATATTTCTCAAACCTGATGTGAATATATACATTATTTTTCCATCTTCAAAACAATTTTTTTTAAATTTTATTTTGTAACTTTTCTATAAAGTGTAGACCCTCCATTGATAGAACTGTTAATGTGTATTGTTATATTGCAGAGACTTTGCGAACAGCAGACATTTTGCCATGCAGTCCTCGTATGGTAGTACATGTAATTTACATAACGGCTGGTTTGCCGTGTCTGAGGCTGGGTCTGGTTGTGCATGGGAGACACAAGCATCTGCACCATTCGCTGTTTATAGTAACATAACAACACTTGGATTAAACAATGGTATGAACTCAAGTTAAAATGAATGCCATTTGTGCACCTGTCTAACTTGTATTTACAAACAAATCCATGTACCATAGTAATTTACAACACATAATCAGTTTGTGTTACGTGGTATTTTAGATGTGCCCTTTATGCATAACAGCAGGCAGTTACGTTGACATGGACACAACTATTATGCAATAAATCATGTTATTCAATCATTTTTAAAGACATACCCTTAATACTTACTTCTATAAGCCTAAGCTATTGCCGGCTGTCAGCCAGACTATATAAACTGTATTTCTCTCTACACTTATCGACAAAAGAGGATTTCGTTATCATTTCTATATAGATTCATCTTTATACATTAATGAAACTTTTGTAATTATGTTCTCAGATTTTAGACCGAACACTATCAGTCTAAGCCTATGTTCCTTAACTACTTCCTTGGTAACTGTATTGATGATGTCATAATCTGTTGTTGTAATCCTATGACCCCCATGGTCACTCCTAGCTACACACTACATGTTTAATACTTTTTAAGAGACCTCCGTACACCAATTTATCTTCCTGAAGCCTCAGCATACATATGAACTTAGCAGGACGTTGGTTCCTCGAAAATTTCTCCAACTGAAGATTTTTCTCGTCTGATTGATTGTTACGCGATATGTTTAATAACAAATATGATTTCACTTTATTTTTTAAAACCCTTTTTTAATCTGACAAACATATCTGACACATACAGAAAGCATGCTACTGTGATTGATGATCCTTATTTAGAATATAAGTTTAACAGGATTTTGTGTTTAACATTGCAGATATGGCAGTCGCTGATGTGTTTGCTGTCTCTGTCTGTAAGTATATCCTTCACTCATTCTATTGGCTCTGATCCTTGAGAGTGTCCATGTAAAAACTCAGTCAGGTATTAAATAATTGTCAAAATTAAAAAAAATATGTAGATCATTGAGACTCAGTTGCTAGTGATTCCTTTGGCTCTGTTTTACAACTGAAAATACGCTGTTTCTCCTTAAAAAAAAGCAAAAAGTCATATCTTCCCAATTTTAAACATTACTATATTTGCTCAGTATACAGGCATCAGCTGCTGTGAAATTCAGATAGAAAAGAGAAACCTACTTCGGGCTTATCATCGCTTTATGTCTTTATTTTGGTCTTTGAATTTTACACAAATATTTCTATTTATAGCCATGGACAATATTTGTGATATTGTCGCGTGTGAAAATGGTGCCACCTGTCGTGACTGGGGAGTCACTTACAACTGCCTCTGTGAAGGCGATCACTATGGATGGCTTTGTCAAAACAGTGAGTTGACTGATGAAAATTTACGTAAGGTTTCTGGAACATCTAGTCTCACTCTCCTAGTAATATCTAAGGGACCTTTCTTTATGTTTGTTCATGTTTTCTCCTTGTTGCAACAATTTAGAGTTTGGATTACAGTTTTGCTACTCAAGCTGTGAATACATAAATATATATATATAACATTTGTACTACAAGTATACATATATATGGACCAGGGTTTTCCATAAGAGCCGGTCACCGGCCAATTTGACCGCCTACTTTGATCATTTGGCCGCCTACACAATCCAGTTCTGTAATAATGTTCCGTACACCACTACACGTACACCACAGGCCATCCCCACCGCGCCGCGTTGCGGCTCATGTCAGCTGGCTTTGCCAGCCTCCTACTTTCACTACACAGCCTACTACTAACAAAATTATGGAAAACCCTGATGGACATTGTGTTATGTACAAGAACTGTTCATCAGATGTGATGATATGAATAAAGACACTTAACACCTATACACATTCATTTTGTGTAAAATCACTTGAATCTTATTGTCTTCAAGGTTTTTCTATCATTATTTATCAGCAGGTTTCTTGCACATAATTTTTGAACCAATTAAGTCTTGAAGAGCTGAAATTAACATTTCGTTTCTCATGTTTGATCTTTACACTGTAACAGTTGATAGTCTCTATACATACTAGACAGCAGAACATGCAGTTGTATTAGTAGTCTCTATACATACTAGACAGCAGAACATGCAGTTGTATTAGTAGTCTCTATACATACTAGACAGCAGAACATGCATTTGTATTAGTAGTAGACAGCAGAACATCAGTTGTATTAGTAGTCTCTATACATACTAGACAGCAGACAGCAGAACATGCAGTTGTATTAGTAGTCTCTATACATACTAGACAGCAGAACATGCAGTTGTATTAGTAGTCTCTATACATACTAGACAGCAGAACATGCAGTTGTATTAGTAGTCTCTATACATACTAGACAGCAGAACATGCAGTTGTATTTAGTATAATTACCCATGCTGACAGCAAAAAAATTAAAAGACAGAAAAAAATAAAATTGTAATTTTTTTCAGTCGACGGTAATTATACATCGTGGACAGACTGGAGTGATTGTACAACAACCTGTTACGCTGAGGGCACTCACTATAGGACGCGGACATGCACAAATCCAACCCCTCTAGGGATAGGACAGGACTGCACTAGATATGGAGAACCTTTGGAGATTCTCAGGTGTATTCCAACAAATCTAGATATCTGTCCAGGTAAGTATATGCCATTTAGGAAGAAATTTTTCAGAATGACTAATCTTCACAGCTTCAGTATAGTAAGCCACAGATCTTCATGTTTATCATATTACCTCCACATCAGTTTGTGTTGTAATTTGAGTTTGGATCATGTTGACATGTTGGTATATTTTTGTTTTTTATTCCCAACAACAGTTGTCACTTAAGTGAGAAATTATGTTGTTTTTCAACAGGCTTTGGAAGACGATGGAGTTTTCCTTGTTGTGAATTTTATAATGGTTTCATTTGTTAGGATTCTTAACATTGTTTCTTTTTGTGGTTTTGATCAGAATACAACACAGGGGAGATAGCAGAGGAAACCTCCTATTACATGGTGTGTCCCTCTGACTTCTACATACATGTGTATGCGGCTAGCTACGGCAATGGGACCACATGCTATGATGCTAATGCGTTAGAAGATGTTAGGACTGCCTGTCACATGCAGACAGACACTTGTAACGTGACTTTCTCTGACACTTTCTTCTCTGGAGATCCATGTACAGCGTACCCAGGTGCAGTTGTGACAGGAAGTGCCAGGTTCTACTGCGCAAGTGAGTAATATGATTGGAATCAGTTCTATTCATTTTAAAATGTATTAAATGAACAAACCTGAATCATTTCTGTATGTTGAAATAGATATGTCATAGGAAGAAATACTGAAAAAACACCAAGCCCCCGACAGGATTCGATCTAGTGACCTTTCAACCTCTAACCTGACACTCTAATGCTTAGCTACAGGGAACATCCCACTAGCCAAGTCCAGTACTGCAACATGTACTCTCAACTCAACTTCTACTCATTCTTAGAATTCAAACATGCTATAAATCTCCACCATTTTACAAAACATGAACTCCTCAGAATCAAATACTCAAGGCAATATATTGTCTTAACACTTCAGTCATAGATTTGTAGAACTCACTATAGCTGTATGTACTATTAAAGTAGAATTAGAATAAACTGCACATTAGGTCAAAGGTCATTTTATAAAAGAACAAGTAATAAACATTATGAGCAAGGAACGTTATCATTATGTATGTTTTGATTTGCAGCGATTATTTTTTGCGATTTTGCTTCAATCAGAAAATCAGCAAAAAGAAATCACACACGAAAGTTGGTTTATAGTAATATGAACAGATAACTTGTTAATCCAGTATCACATGACCGTGTTCTGACCACAAAATGTGCTGTTAGTGTGTGAATTTTTAGGTCATCTGACCGATGTGTCGTAAACATTTTCAACTTCTTCTCATGTTCTACATGTCTCATTGAGCTGAAACTTACCAGAAATGATCGTGACATGATCCTGACCAAAGTCTGTTAATTTCGGGTTGGTCCGAAATCCAACATGGCTGCCATGGCCGCCCTCTTGAAAACACATTTTTGGCTTCTTCTCAAGTTCAAAATTTGAAATCTTGTATTTTATGTCAGATGACCGTTAAGGCCCACAAACCTCTTGTTTTATAAACTGGCTAAGATTTTTTTGGTTTTTCCTCTGTTTGTCAATAGTATTGAGAAAGTACTAGAATTCATTGGTTAAACATGACATTTGATCATTCAGAGTAGAAATATTAAATTGCTGGAAAATGTGGCAAAGAAAAAGATGTTAGATTAAAATATTCTTATTTTTTAAGGAAACCATATACATTCTTTGTTTGACAGAACGGCGTGAATTGGACAATTTCCGAGGACGTAAGTTTACATCTGCCATCAATTCTTCATGATACAATATAATGAGATATACATAAAGAAACTTTAATTCTGATAAATATTCAGTAGTAAAACACTGGTTATTGAACACATTATTCATATTGTTTTTGCCCTCTGTAGAGTAGGATGATCTTTCAAACATTTAAGATTTTATAGTTCTGATTAGTTGTAATGACTCGTGTTAACCTTGCCAGCCTGGCGACTGGCGTTTAAGGTGCCCGCTGGTACAGCTCCCCCTGCTGGCTATGCTGATTTCATGGCACTGTATGATGCGTCTGGGGCATACAATGAATTTGATACAGCTGCAATGACAGACTTCAGCGCAGGAGGCACTGTCTACAAGTCAACAATGCTTGATTATTGGGGAGTGAATACATCTGTCAGTGGTGTAAGTATCTTGTGATATGTTTTGAAATCATCACATCCAAAGATCTTCTGCTTCATGTGATGGGTTTGGTTGTACTACTTGTACATATAGATATTCTCAGCCTCTTTTCCTGGAAAGTGTTTCTTCTGTCTCCAACATATTTTATTGTCAAAATTGTTTTTGATTTCATATCAAATGTTGTCCTTGATTTACAGGTAAAATTATCTGTGTTTAAAGACGGGCAGGAAGTGCACTATGTAACATTTGATGCTGTGGGAAAAGGAAAGACAGATTGGTTTGATTGCAGCAATATTGTAGAGTCAAGCTGGCATGACCTACCAGATGGAAACTACACATGCACAAAGAGGTTGATATCTCATTTATCTAGCTGTGACTTTCCGTTCCGTTTCTTAAGATGAAAATGTTTTGTTCTTAGCAACTTTCTCCCTAATTTTTCAACAGTAGCAACTCTTCATTGTTATGTATATGTTAAAACTATGAGTTTGTCTCATGTTTCTTCTAGTGAAGGGGACACCTGGAAGAGAAATTTCTTCATGAAGAGTGATTATACAACCTGTACGAATGAAACAGGATGGCTTGTGCTGAAGGATTACGGGGCGACTGACGGCTGTTCTGAGTGGGACACTACAACATCTCTTCCACAGATATGGTACTCACAAACAGGTGTTCGTGTTCAATGGGCTTACGGTAAGCTGATTTTTTATCAAATATGTTTAAAACAAATTATCGTATACAGGTAGGTCCCAAATATATTTGTATACCTGGAAAATAAATAAATAAAGTTTGATAATTCAAAATCTAGTGCTTTAAAAACACTTCTGGGTGTGTTATCACCAGTAAGTTTTTTCCCATTATTATTTCATCTGTTATATTGGTAAACTGTTCCAGGTAAGGTGCATACATTACATACACAGTGTAGGTCGCGCATGTATAATACTCTTACATGTTACGTGTATTCAGGATGTGTAAGTCTTATGGATATTGTGCCGGTGCAGCATTTGAGGACTGTTTCATTAATTATTGGACAATTGTCACTCTCTTCTCCAGAATTAAATCTTTTAAAGTCATAAACAAAGAAGTACTAGTTACATCTAAATAAACATCTAATTTTTCTTTCAGGAAATAAAACTACTGCAGACGCATTGGCAATATTTCTGATGGGTAAGTCTGTTTGATACGCGGTGAAAATTTGATATTGATGCTGGGATTATTTTGTTTGAGATATGTACACCTTACATTTTTGTTTCATGTCATTTACCTGTTAAATGAATGTGTTTATGTACTTGACCCAATTATTGCTTAGTGTTACAATAGAATGAAACAATACGCCTTTCACTGTGCATGAATCCCTCTGTTTTTGCTATCTAAGCCTGGGTTGTATTGTTACCATATTATAGTCAATGTATTACCTTACTTCACACAATAAAATTTTCTATGATGTCCCCCATCCCCATCCCCACACCCACCCACACCACCATCCCCACACCCCCACACCCTCACCCACACCCACATCCCCATCCCCACACCCACCTACAACACCCCTATCCCCACACCAACCCACACCCCCATCCCCACACCCACCCACACCCCCATCCCCACACCAACCCAAACCCCCACACCCACCCACACCCCCATCCCCACATCCACCCACACCCCCATACCCTCACCCCCACCCACCCACACCCCCATCCCCACACTCTCATCCCCACACCCACATCCCCATCCCCACACCCAGCCACACCCTCATCCCCACACAGACCCCAATCCCCACACTCCCATCCTCACACCCACACCTCCATCCCCACACCCACCACCATCCCCATCCCCACACCCACACATATCCATGTATCGGCTACGCCTCCTAAACTACTGAACTAATTTCAGTGATACTTGCTAGCTATAATCCACATATATTGTAGATGTGTGTTATCTGTATCAGATAAAGTTACCTCCCCTTTTCGGAAACTTACAATGTAATAGCTATTCCTAAACTAATTGATATATCATATATAATTCATGTACCAAAATGAAATACCATGTTATTATTCTATTGAAACCTCTGTTGGTAGCTGGGGTATGAGTTGGCCTCCAGACAACAGTTCTAGATTTTTAAGTTTTCATCAAAGGTGTAGACTTATCCGAAACTTTGATATGGTGGTGTTTCAGATTGGCATATGGTGTTTAAGGGTGTAGAAGAAGTGACCCCTGAAGCAGGGACCCTGGCTAATCTGTGGACGCTAACAGACACAGAGAATGATAATGTCATGACAGCCACAACGATTACCAAATCACCAAATGTGGCTTACAAATCCAGTCTAGTCGAAAACTGGTCCGACCCATTCACATTCATAGATATGGTAAATTGTACTTTATATGTATATTTGGTCAATGATGATGATGATGATGATGATGATGATGATGATGATGATGATGATGATGATGATGATGATGATGATGATGATGATGATAATGATGGCCCTTTATTCAGGGTTATTTTTAATCTGTACACTATTTTGAATACTTTACATGTATAAAAAACCAAGGAAAATACATTTCTCTACACACTCCATTGATGTGTCTTGACAAAATGGAAAATGATTTGTAAGTATGAATATATTGAAAAGTGACTTATGATTCTAAATGTTTTGTTTTCACTAATTACCGGTAGTAATTTGATAAGAGTAGATATTGTATTGACATTTAATTGTGAATGCTCAGTGTATTCTCATTTCAAACGGGTTTCAGGTGAAGTATGGTTTCTTCACCAACGGAATTGAAAAAGCTTACACAATTTTTGACGGGAGGAGTACAACTAAGACCTCTTGGTTCACTTCAAGCAAAATACGGTTTTCCAAATATACAGACATTTCATCAGTATCAATCGGTCATTGTAGCATTTCTAGGTAAGATGTATTGCACTCGTTTTTATTATTAAATAAGACTGACAAATATTTTTGTTGACAGTAACAACTTGAGGGAAAAACTGCAAATCACATTTCAATTTTGGAAGTAGTTTTTGGTTTCATTGTATGACTAGGAATATCTTCACCTTGCATGTTTTATGAGGTTGTTTTTCATTTTACAATATATATACCCTTTTACATATATATTGGTAGCTCATTTTTGTTATACCTCATGTAACAATCTTAGTTGTAGAGAAATTGAAATGCATTTAGTGGCATGTGACAGTCATTTGATAACTCATGTTAATCCACATTCGGTGAAATGTGATAACTCATTTCTGTTTTACCTCACATCCTAAGATATTTATCATGTACAACATATATACTTTTTTTTTACATTATACTGCCCTCCTCGTCTCCCCCTGTTTAATAGGTTCGTCATTTAAATAGAAAAATGCAGTGGTTTTAGAAAGAGAATGAAATGTAGTGAGTCTATGCCAACATCTTCCTTTTGTTCATATTTTGCCCTAGTTTTATTGAATTCGATGATGGTGATGTTGACATATTGGTATATTCTTGTTTTTTTTTTTTTTCATTAAGGCAGAAAATTTTATTTAAACATCCTCTTTTCTTTCTAAAATCAGCGATTCACGACGACGTTTTCTGATTGCCCATGACATCTCAACAACCTGTAGTAGCTATAAAGCATGGATGTTGACACAGGATGTGGGTGGTTCAACATACTGCGCCTTTGATAATAGTGCATTACTCGGGAAGAACCGTCCAAACTTCCTGTATAGTGATGGCACATCGTACGGACTTCCACAACCATGTAAGTGACCTGACAATGACCAGCTGCCAGGTGTGTCATAAATTGTATACTAAGATTAATAATGCTTCAACAACATCAATAATGTATTTGAAATCATGTCAATACTTTGTATTATAATCATGATGCTTTATTTTGTGATAATTTGTATTATAATTACTACATATTTTATTTTGAGATTAAGCAGAATTACATACACTCAGACACTCCATAGTGTGTCATTTATACACACTTTGCATAATTTCTTAATTTTCATGATTTTCAAAGTAGAAAGTGAAATGAAATGATTTTGGTGTCTCAATATTTCAATTAGAAATCTATATTTAAACACATATCATAAAATATTTTTCTTGCTTCATTTGGGATATTTTAATTGAAAATTATGTAGAAACAGATATGATGTAGATCCAATCTAGGTAAATCCACTAACAAGCTGTAAAATACTCTTTCATTTCAGTAATAATTACCATAACTTTAGTATGCAAATACAGTACCTACACCCATCTTTGTATCCCAACAACAAAAGATTCAAAAGAAAAACAATCCCGCCCTCCCTACGATCCATGAGCCATCACGGCAGGAACGCAGAGTGATCTCCCTTCCTCTTACCTTTATGGCTGCCGACGAGTGCGGAGGTGTCTGAGCTAAGTGCTTTTCTTACTCCTTCTCTTCGTACTGCCATTGTCGTTTGAGTATATTGTTACTCTATTAGTAGTCTATAAACCCATCTCCCAACTTATATTGTGAAATTAAGTATTGTCATTTGTTTATTTTGACCGTATTTCCGGCCGTTTTTTCCTCCACGTATTCGAGTGCGTGACTACTTGTCTCGTTGCTCGGATTTGCGTGAAGTTGGAATTTGTTTTCTTGCTGCTTTGTCAGCCGTGTTGTACGGCCGTTTTATTTATGCAGTGCAATCTTGCTGCGTACGATAGGCTTTGTGCTCTCGTTCGTAGTTTTTTGATTGTTCGAGAACTTCGTTTCCGGCCGTGTTTTTACTCCGCGTGTTCGAGTGAGTGACTACTTGTCTCGTCACTCGGATTTTCGTGAAGTTGAAATTGTTTTCTTGCTGCTTTGTCGGCCGTTTTGTACGACCGTTTTTTTTTTTTTGCAGTACAATCTTGCTGCGTACGGTAGGTTTTATGATCTCGTTCGTAGTTTTTTGATTGTTAGAAAACTTTTTATCCTTGTTTTCATTGTTACAATTTTTTATTGTTTCGATGCTGGATAAAGGTGCCGGGTTTACGTCGGGGGTCAGCGCATGGATGTTCCTATTTCTATAGATAATGGGAACCCCATGATACCTGTCCCATTTGCCGACATTACAGCCAGACCTCACTATGTGAACTTTGTTTGCACATGGAGTCTGCTGCTTAGGCTCCCATGCCTTTCCAGCTAACTTTCCGCCGGAAGAGGGATTCGTCCTCTTCTTCCGGTAAGGGAAGTAAGCTTTTTAAGACCTCCCTCCTGAAGTTCTGAACCAGAGCGTTCCTGCTGGGGGTGCTCTCGTTCCACCGAGCTCCGCCCTTCAGCAGGGGGTGGCTCCCCCTGTCCAGGTGCGTCCTGGAGTAGGGGGGGGGCAGCCCGACCCTGACTCGGCGCAGTCAAGGGTCGAATTGGCCGGTAGCTCTCGATAGGCGGCGGTGTTACCGTCGGAAAGGGACTTCCGGTCGAGGTCTCTGATTCCTTCAGGGACCTCGGCACGCCAGGTGGCGTCGTTGGTGGGGGCCGCTTTGACTCCGGAACTGTGCCTTCGGGTATAGGTTCAGGGGCCACAGACTTTTTGTCAGGATTGTCTGTGGCTACGGGGATTAGTGACACTTGAGTTCACTAATCCTGGTGTCAGCGCGGGGTCTGTTTTCCCACCCTCACAGGCTTCTGGCTCTGGGACTTCCGTCCCAATCCAGATTTCCCAGTGCAGGGTTTCCCAGGGGATTTTCCTCCAAGGGTTTGGGGCTTCAGGCCAGGAGTCCGGTTTCCGGTCTCCCTTTCCCCCGGGCTCAGGGAGTAGGGGTGCCTGCGGGCACTTATTCCTGGGTCGCCCAGGCCAACCTGCGGATGGTTTTGGGTACCAACAGTTACTCAGCAGTTACGGGCTTAGCCTGTACATGTCTGGGTTTCCACCTGGTGGGAGTGGCGGTTCATCCTGGTCCTTTGGACAGGATGTCCAGCCCCAGACTCAGGCAGGCCATCTTGGCCAGTTCTGGGGTCACTCCCGGCCCGCTGGACCGTTCCCATTCCCTCAGGGGTTTGGGTTTTTACCCCATGGGTCTTCACTCGTGGAACCCATAGGGGTTGGTCTCTCCTCTAGGAGATGTTATAGCAGTGCGGAATCCCCCCCCAATGTTCTGCTACTTCGGGGGCCTTGTTGGCCGGTCCTATAAAGGTTTGCCAGACCTTAAGGACTTCCGCCTCCAGCGCGGACCCGTCGGTCTCCTGTTCCCAGGGGTCGGCTTCGGGTCTCCGACCCAAGCCTACAGCTACAGCTGTTGGTCGCGCTGCGTCCAAATGCCATAAAGAGGAGTTCCCCTCTGCGGAGATGGCTCCTCTGGCGGCCCCTGTTCCTCCCAAGGGGACTTCGGTCTCTATTGAGGAGGAGATGGACATCGAGGGTGCGGGCTCGGCAGAGGAAGACGATGTCATTCATCTTTCTCCTGGGCCAAGAGGGTTCACAAGGGGAAGATGGCCCTGAGACTGCTGAAGCTGAGGCTCAGCATGTGCTTTCTGGGATGCGGGTCCTCCGGGCCAACATCTCCCGGATTCTCAGGGCGGAGGTTTGCCCACCGCCTCAGCATCGTCGGCGCCTGAATCCACCATCCTTCTGGGTTCCCTGGTGGCTCCTCGGGCTTCCGTTCGCTCAGATCGGTCTCTGCCAGAAGGCAATATCATGTCTTCGGTTCTGGCCACGGCCCGGGCTCCGGTTTTAGAGAAGGACTCCTTCTCTACCCGTGCTCTCGGGTTTGTCGGTCTGCAGCTCAGTGTTGGTGAATTGTCGGAGGCTTCAGCTTCCGACTATGCCACACATGATGGGCAGCTGGCCTCTCAACCAGCACAGCTGGAGTTGAGACAGCTGGCTGCCTGGCCCGGCAAATCAGTGGACCAGGTGGTGCTCGATCCCAAAGAGCACCACAGGATGGAGAGAATGTTGCACCTCTCCATCCAAGTTCTGTCATACATAGACTTCCTGACAGTTTGTCTATACAGGGTATCCGATTTGCCTGAGTGTCGGTTATCCGAGACAGAACAGCCGACATACAGGACACGGCAGCCTTGCAGGTTCTCTGCTCGTCAATGCCGTGTTGGCTAGGCAGTTTTCAGTTCTGAAATTCCGCCCAGTCCAGTAACCCTACCGTTTCCGCTTGTTGAATGCCCCCTTCTAGGGCTCTACCCTGTTCAGGGGAGCTCTTCCTTGGGTTCAGAAGGATATGAAGGAGGACTCGGTCGCCTCAGCACTTCTGGTGAAGAGGTTTCAGGCTGAGAAGGCCAGTGCCTCGCAGGGGTCAGTGCCTCCTAAGAAGAAGGCGAAGTCTTCGGCTGCTCAGTTTTCTGCACAGCCCAAGTCCCAACCTCACTTCAACGGCAACAAGGGGAAGGGTAGGAAGGGTAAGAAACCTCCTGGGGGCAAGAAGAAGGGTTCCTGACTATTTCTGCTTCTTGGCCGCGAAAGGCGAAGGGTATGGCCGGGTGGACGGTGGTTCTCCTTTCCCGGGCTCATGTCCTTCTCCTGCAGGCTCAGGCTCCGGGTGGGCAGACGATTCTCTGGTCTGGCAGGGGCTCGATCTGCCCCATCCGGAACTCCCTGTGGGCGGACGTCTCTCTGCTTTCCTTTCCTAGTGGCAGGATATTACAGAGGACGCTTGGGCTTTTGTCGGTGGTCAGGGAGGGTCTAGGTATTCCCCTTCTTCAGGATTCGTCCCTCGCCTCCTGGCCGTTTTTGTTTCTTTCCTCCTCCCGGGGATTCAGAAAGGGCACGGGTGCTCCAGGAGGAAGTAGGGACCATGCTGCCAAGGCAGAGATGCCCTTGGGGCTCACGACAGCTCCTTTGGTGTTCACCAAGTTGCTGCTGGTGTTTCCTTCACTCCTGCAGAATAGACGTCCACATCTATTTCGACGACTCCCTCATGCCTCTTTTGGTGTGGGAATCGTTAGTGAAGGACACTCGTCTGGTCCTGAAACTCTTGCTCAGAGTCGGCTTCATTCCTTCCAGAGAGAAGTCAGAGGTTCCTTCATATTAGGACTTCTTCTTCCTGGGGAACCATTTTGACATGGTTCGGGGCTTAGCCCTTCCACCTCTGGAGAAGTTTGAGAAGGTCAGGGCTCTGGCTCTGACTTTCATCACTTGGTCGCTTGTCCAGGTACATTGGTTCCTCAGTTTTCTGGGGTATCTCAACTCCTTGGCATATGTGGTCCCCCTAGGGAGGATTCACATCGGACCTCTCCAGATGTTCCTCCTGTCTGACTGGGTTCCGTCATCCAGGAGGCCTGGATCCCGCTTACCCAGTCGGTCAGGGAGTTCTCTTGCTGGTGGACCATTCAGGAGAACGTTTTCCACGGGGTACCTCTGACCAAGCCTATCCCCTCTATGATCCTGTTCATGGACGCGTTCATGACAGGAATGTGAGCTTACCTCGATGGGGGAGTGGTCTGGCGAATAACTCTCGAAGCACATCAGTGTACTCGAGATGAGACTGTTCATTTGGCTCTGCAGTCCTTTAGGGGTATCCTGCAGTCCAAAGTGTGGCTACCGACAACAGTTGTCGAGTATCTGGAGAGACAGGGGCCACCAGGTCTCATGTCCTGTGTGCCCTCTCCATCCACATCCATCTTCTCTGCCAGGACATGCAGTTGACCATAGCGGTCAAGCATCTTTCTGGCAGGCTGAGTGTGTTGGTGGCCACTCTCCAGGCGCCACCAGCCGGTGTTGACGGAATGGCAGCTGTGTCCCTTGATTTTCAAGGGGAATTGTCAGGCGTGGGACAGACCTATTATAGACCTGTTTGCCA